GAATACTTCATCACTAAGTTTGATCTCCCGACCAACTATCTTCCCGACACGGAGAGGATGAGGTACTCATACGAGCTATACCAACATGGTCGTATGAAGCAAAAATATTCGTGTGAGAGCGATGATGAATCCCCTGGGACGCTTGATGATATACAACGTGCAAAGCTCGCATCAGTTAGTTAGAATATGCCTACCTTTTGAAGGAGTACTGTTTGTCTTGTGTATGGAGAGTTGAACCATGTTGATACTATTTGGCATTATGTTTTGTTGCAATTTTTCTTTTTTTTTTTTTTTTTTTTACTTTTTGAAAAAAATGCCAGGGGAAAAATTGTCCAAGAGGGGGCGGTAAGTAATAATAGGGGGCGGTGAATAGTAAATGAGTATTATAAAAATACAATTGGTATTTTAATATCAGTATTTAATAGTTTATATTATTTGTTGTTGAAAAGACATAATATATAAAATATCGAAATCAATAATATACATTCATGTAGACAATAACATGCTTTTCATTTGTTGTTATTGTGCAACCTATTGATCGAGCATTTTTCATGTGCATTTCAATTTTAAAGACATTAATAATATGTATTTCAATTAATATTATTTTGCATTTATCAATTTATTTATACAATGAAACTATATATTTAGTGTTTATTTTCTTATCTAATAATTTATATTATTATTCATTGAAAACAAATATATACAAACTATAACATATACTTTTTTTACATAGTTCAGTGCACGAAATCTATTACTATATAATAGAGAGAAGAAAAAATGTTTGAAAAATTATTTTATTTTACCGCTCAAATAATTTTTTTCCCCCTAATATTTTGTTTGAAATTTTTTCAAAAGTTTGAATTTTTTTTCATTCCGAAATTCTGTAAGTTGAATGAGTTCAATATGTTTTGGATGAGATTTCTTCCATATCGGATAAATTCAAGATCCTTTTCATTTGGGAAAACAGATTTTTATTTTAGCAATATATTTGACTTCCTTTTTTTTTATTTGGAGATAATCTATCCGTTAAAACAGGAAATGAATTTGTAATTTATTTTGTCAAATTAGTTTTTGAGTTAATCCTTCTATAACATGTTTGTGCGGACGGAATGCGGGAGATACAACCTCAAATGAATTAAATCATACCGTACGTAAGTTCACTTTAATGTATAAATCATTAGAATAATAAAAAATAAAAATTTTATAGATAACAATTAAATGTTTATCATAGGTTTTATTTTAAAAATAAATTTGAATTATTATACCTTTTACTTTATATGAAATTCAAAATTACATGTTTTAATAAATTAATAAATATTTATTATTTATTTTTTCCTTATATGATATAATCGAAATTCGGTATTAAATTTTTAAATTCAAACATTTAAAGAAAAAGATCCTGAACAAAATTTCTTGGGTAAATTTCATTTTATCTTGATTTTTATATAATCACATTCCTAACAAACTAATTCATATTATATTTTTTTATCTACATTATCTAACCGATTTATTTTATGATACAATTAATATAATATCTTAACTAATTAATCATTTATCGAACTAGATTTATCTCTCTAACAAACTTGCCATTTTTTTTGAAATTAAAATGGTATGATTATTCTTATGGAGATAATCGACTTTTAAAAAATATAAAATCAAGACCATAAGGTTTAATAATATTACTTAAAAAAATATTGTATAAGGAGAAGTGATTAATAATATATATTTTTCATTGTTTGTATTTATTTTATTTTCATAATAGACGAGATGTGAAAAATATAAGTAATTATATTTAAAATAAAGCCTAAAAAAGGTTTAAAATATGAGCTCCTATGTGCATCGCACGGGATACACACTAGTATAAACTAATGTGCTATCTCACATTCATTAATGTGCACTCCATGATGTATTGGATATTTTAATTCTTTATCACAACTGATTTTGATCTTTTTTTTTTTTTTGTGCATTCCATAAGTCGGGACATTTTTTTTAAACATAGACATTGGATATTTCAACCAACTTTAATGTGCATTTATTAGAATCTATATTAATTACTCCCTCGTATTCATAATAAGTGTCGTTCTGAGAAGTTGCACACTAATTAAGAATAATTTTTTTTGCCAATAATAACTCTCATTAATGAATATAGAGATGAATGTTTTAAAAAAGGATGAAGAGAATATGAAAAGACGTAGTGTATTTATTAACTAAATAAGGGTAATAATGGAAAAATATGTACAAAAAATTCAAAACGACATTTATTTTGGTTAATAGTTGATAAAGCCAAAATGACATTTAAAAAGAATAGGAGGTAGTACAATTTAGCTCATTAATTCTATTGTTAATATATTAACATATTTATATTTGCACTAAGGTCCCTGAAAAGTATCAAATTTTTAATTGAAAACCCTCCAAACACAAATCAGATTTATGTCCTCCCGCCTCAACTATTCACGGCTGTCTCTCGCCTCAGACAAGTCTCGTCGTCGTAGTGCCCTTGGTTTCAAACGCCGCCGGAGCATCCGTGGAATCGCGGCCTATGGTTTCAGATTCCGATTTGGATGAAATCGCCAGACCTATGTTTCAGTTTGTGAGCGTGTTCGGCGAATCCAGGGCTGAGAACGATGGATGACATTGGTTTGGCCGTCATGTGTGTCGCCGGCGAGAGCTTGTTGCTAACGGAGATGGGAGAACCGACGTTGATGGGAATTTGACAATCGATTTGGCCATCGTGGTCAACGCCGGCGGGGAGATTGTCGCAGTGAGGAGCGTCGAGTGTGTCGTCGCCGATGACTGGGGCGGCATTGTTTTTGCGTCGGCGGGTGGTCGGAAGCGAGGATATGACCGACAGTGGGTGTATGTGCGTGTTTTGGAGGCTGCTTCTTCGAGATCTGCAGTGGAGAGTGGTGACGGTTGATGAAAAGGAATGGTGGATGCTCGACCGGTGGGCGACTGTCGACAGGCGGCGACCTAGGGGTGGCGGGCGGCGGGCGGCGCGCGGCGATCGGCGATTGCGGGTGGTGTATAGTCGAGTGTGTCGCAGACTTGCGTCTTTGTGCGTGTGTGTTTTGTATGTGTGGGTGTGTGTCAGAGAGTGTGGGGTGTGGGGTGGGGCCCGCTGTTGATTGGGGACGTGTGGTAGAGTGATTTGTATTAAGTGGGTTAAAATGTGGGACCCACTTCTTAGTGGGTCTAGTGGGTCCACTAATAGATATATTAAAATGTCTGAAATATCTTTAATAAATATATAATGTTGACTTTTTTTATTAACCATTAGATAATCTGATCTAATGGCATAATTTATTCTTATTTCTTTCACTAAAAAAAATGGAACATAAGAGTTTCTCAGTAGGTAAATACAATCTTCGAGTTCCCTAGAGGAGAATAAGTAGAGATGTTAAATGGTCTTTGGCCAGACGGGCCGGCCCGTTTAGCAAAAAAAAAAAGATGGTTAGGTCCCTTTATTAGAAGCTCGTTTAAATCAGGGCTTTTTAGGCACAAACCGTTTAACCCGAAACCTGCTAGGGTTGGCCCATTTAACTAGGATTAGACGGTTTAAATGTTTGTATGAAATAAGTAATATGCTCTAAAATTCCTTGTATATTACAATTTTACTATTTCACGTCACATGTAAGTATGAATTGTAATGGATTATTATGATTTTGAAAAATAATTATTAACACACACCAAAATATGCCAACCAGAACGATTAATAGAAAACACATGAAACATAGTGATAAACGGTAAATACTAAATAGCCGTTGAAAATAATTGTTAACTAGTCGTTGTTATTTTTCTATATTTTTTACTCTTTTTATTTTTGATTTTTTATTTATTATTATTATTATTATTATAGCTCGCATAGTCCATTTAACTTAAAGCCCGCTAGGGTTAGGGTTAGGTCCTTTATTGGTAGCCCGTTTAATTTCGAGTTTTTTAGGCCTAGACAGTTTAACTCGAAACCCGCTAGGACTAGCCCGAAACTGCTAGGCTAGCCGTTTAACAACCCTCTAGATAAGGCTAAGCCGGGCGAATAGGGTTTTCATGAGATGGGAAATGCAAAGTATCAGTCTATACGAAGTTTGTGAATAAGTGATTGTCTGATAAGAGCAAGGATTACGACTAGCATGGGCGTGTGTCTGATTAAGGGTTACAAATTATAAAATTGTACCTAAAAAAATTACTATAGATCCGGATAAAAAAAAATTATACAGGTTGCAATTTCAAATTCCTACTAATGTTTATAGTCCGTGCAGAAGGGTTCCTCGAATTTGCATATTTGCAATCTCCACTTTCTGAAAAGCTCAGAAGACAGAACTCAGAATCGAGCATCCCACCTCAATAGTGTGCTCAAGTTTCTGCTACCATTTCCAGTTATGGCGTTTCTGTTTCAGAAATTTCAAGAGGTACATTTTGTATACTCCATTTTTTAATGTAAAAACGAATATCATTTTCTAGTATTATCGGCATTATTAGCCCAAAGAAATGGACCTCAGGTTTTTCATTCCATAAACAGAATTTATCGCTCATTTTCACCGGGAATCCTTATATTCGACCAACTAAATTTCATTTTACTTTTGTTGGGATTAAATAGTATTTTTGCTACATAATTTGTAAATTGTTCAGGCAGTCAAGGTGCTTGCGAAAAGTACCACGTTTGCTAGAGATGGGAGGCATCTTCAATTTGAAGCGGATATGAACAGACTTTTTCTCTATACCAGGTGAATGTCAATTATATGTTTCAGCTACATTTTGAATTGTGATTTGTATTGTGATTGAAATCTCAGTTGTGTTATCTCTTTGAACTTCATTTTCATACTTTGAATTAGCCTGCAAAGTGGTAGCATGTGTGTCGAGGCGACTTATGATATTTTGTGGTTTAGTGAAGTGTTTTACGGTGGTTATATCCAAGACCTATGCATTATATGTGATCTGAAAAATGGAACTTGTTAGCCGATTGACCTTTGAATACAAAATCTTCATAATGCTGTTTTGAAATTTTGATTGTACTGAAACTTTTGTCATTAATTATTGTGATGGTGTTCTGAACTCTGCTTATTGAATGAACACTCCTAGTTATTATTGAGTTGCATATTATTTCTCTGGAATTTTATCATTTCATAAATATTGCACATAATATTTACCTTATAAGCCGTGGTATAAATCCTTGCAGCTACAACCGCTTGGGGAAAAATGCAGTTGAAGCTGATGCAGACGAGATAGTTGACATTGCTTCCAAGGCATCTCTAGCTGAGCAGCAAAAGCAAGTTCAAGAAAATATTCACGCCCAAATCAATACATTCTGCACTTATATGGATGGTATTCTTTGTCCAGACTCAAAAAGAAAGAACACAGATAACCCGTCTTCAGAAATGAATAATGCTCCAAGACGCAGTGGTCTTGGCCTTGCTGTGGGCAGGACTAACCCTTTGGATGAGAAGTGTGAGTGATAGTGTTGGGTGTTTAAAATTCTGTTCATCTTCTTACATTTTGCAAATTGCGTTTACTGAAGATAAGTAGATTACAAATAACTACACCTCGTTCATGTTCATTGTGCTTATGCTGAACACGTGTTTTCTTCAAATGCTATTAAGGACAAACACAAAAACTACTTTTGAAGTTTGAACCTTTTTTTTTCTTTTCTTTTTTTTTTCAATGATCGTACTCTTATCAGTTATCTGCCAAACATACAAACACTCTCCATGAATTTTACATATCCTTAAGAATTATCCTCTTTTGGGTGTGCAATTTGTTACATTTTTATCACTCGCAATTGTAATTTGAAATATAGTTGGGGTTAATTATTCTAGCAATCCTTTTGGTAATTACCTTCTTTCTACATAATGATTTCCTGCACTGTTACAAATGATGATCACTTTAGCTCTGTTATTTAACAACCCACGTAATCTCAGGCGCACGTATGGTGGACACAAAGCCTCTGAAACGTTTCGAGCTCTCACAGAAACTAAAAGACCTCACTGGATACACTCTCGAAATCAAGCCGTCACAAATCCAACACGAGGACGCGGGCCAGGGTTTGTTCTTGGATGGTGAAGCTGACGTGGGTTCTGTAATAGCTATATACCCTGGCATCACATACTCTCCAGCTTACTATCGGTATATTCCCGGATACCCAAGAGTTGACCTGAAAAACCCTTATTTGATCACGAGATATGATGGGACAGTTATAAATGCCCAGCCTTGGGGCACAGGTGGTGAAACTCGTGAAATGTGGGATGGTTCGAATTTTCAAGAACCCAAGTTGAATGCAGGAAGTGGTGAAAATGGGTCAGATCGAGTGTGGAAATTGCTGAGCAAACCTTTGGATGGTTCGCGGGTCGGGGTTAGAAGCGTAATTTTGGAGAGACGGAATCCGCTGGCTTTCGCGCATTTCACGAATCACCCGGCAAAGGGCATGGAACCGAACGTTATGGTCTGCCCTTATGATTTTCCTTTGAGTGATAGTAGCATGAGAGCTTACGTGCCGAATATTTCGTTTGGAGATGGGGATGGTGCAAAAATGAGGAAATTTGGCAGCTTTTGGTTTAAATCGTGGAAGTCGGGCAACAGCATGAGTACGGATGTCCCGGTTTTGAAGAGCCTTGTTCTAGTGGCCACGAGAAGGATCTGTAATGAGGAGGTTTTTTTGAATTATAGGTTGAGCAACTTGAAACGTAGGCCTTCGTGGTATATCCCGGTTGATGAGGAGGAGGACCGAAGGAGGTGGAGTTAGGTAACATTCGTATGAATTGACTGTCTGATTAAGCATGGAGTTCCTTAATTTTTTTTTTTTTTAAATGAAAAATATTTTGTGCAATGGCGTTGGACTGAGGCGTAGTGTTTTTTGTTTCCCCTTTAATTCAATTTTATCCCTTCCCTTCCCTGATTTTGGATTTCAACAAGTTTGTAACCAGTTTTGGCCTGGGTCTGCAAGAATAAAGGCAAAAACAATTTACTACAAGATTTTGCTATGAAGATCTCCTGTTGGAATTCATGTTGCAAGGTCAACTTTTATATATTTGTTGATTAATGGGATAATTTAATAAATGATGGTATGTTTATTTAGCCCAATCTCAGTGGATGATGTTCCAACATCACTTGTTCTCTGTATCCCGTCGTTGTAAGATGCTACAACATAGTTCTGGTAATTACTAAAGATATATCTTGAGTTCGCAATATTGTTTTCTGCATAATCTCTAGGAAAGGTACTTTACCATATTTACTTTTTGGCTTAACTCCAAGCGGCAGAAGGACTGCTTCGTAGAGTTATTCAGGCACTGGTTGTCGAGTGGGCAGGTCCTTCATCTTCTAGGCCCAAAAGGGGTGAAAACAACAAGAAGAAGAATCCCGTAGGTACGGCAGAGGCATTGGTGTCTACATTCACACCGAGATCGATTGCATGGGAGTGACGATGAAGTCAAAAGGCAGGTGTCACTGGTGCTAACACCCAGGACATTGGAAGACCAACTGTCATCTCCTTGTCATCTCCTCAGGCAGGGCGATGGAGGTATATCTTTCACACTTGTCGTATAAACATGTTTATCGGTGTTATCAGTACCAGGTGTGTAGATAGGTGTGTAGATGAGAGTTACTGATCATGTGTGCAATTCATTGCATAAGTTCTAGAAAACCAGACGACTTAAAGAAGGAGATATTACCGCCTTCATGGGCAACTCCACGAAAGCGGTGGTTGTTGAAGTGAGACATTTATCTTTAATTTGATAGAGATGTGTTATAGTTTTTAAAATTGTATGTATGATCCGTTTAGAAAGAATTTGGTTTCAATTTCTAGACTGTATATTCTGCTATTTTTCGTAATGAAGTTATTGGCAAAAATAAATCGTTTATGTATTCTAGTTCATTAGTAGGTAATTTTTTTTATTCGAAAATCAGAATCTCCCACAATACAACCAAAGAAAATTCAGAGCTCGAGTTCTATCTTAATTTAGAGAAAGAACAATAGAAAATGAATTAAATATATCTTTGTCATCGTAGGTTAGGTCATATTAAGTTAATGGGCTTTTAGGCTCGTTGGAAGGGAGAAGAACTCTCCGACTTACTAATCCTTCCACAACCGTCTACTCTTTCAATTTCTAATTTGTGTGGTCTTAAACTATCCAGGATAGATGTGATTTTGAGTATTTCGTAATTTTTATCGACGATTACTCGAGATACATGTACATTTACCTGATGCATCGCAAGTCCAATGCTTTGAGATATTCAAAGAGTAGACGGTTGTGGAGAAGTATCATTGTAAAAGTATCCAGATACTACGAGCAGATTGTGGTGGCGAGTTCCAATTAAAAGAGTTTAGGAACTACTTATCAGAAGTTATGATTGAATCGCAATTATCAACAATGAGTACACTCCAACAGAACAGAGAGCAGAAATATGATTCTAATGGAAATAATTAGACCAATAATGAGTTATTCAGAATTACCGTTTTCATTGCGGGGTATGCTCTATAAACTACAATGTACATTGTAAACTTGGTACATTCTAAGTCTGATATAGCCATACTTGTGAACCGGAGTCAAGTATGAAGAGGTCCGAGTGAAACGGAGGAAGAGCAACCTGAGGAGGTCTAGACGAGACTTGAAGGTCTCGGTGATTAAGTGTGGGAAGTAGACATGCTCTCTGTGACTGAGTATGAGAAGCTCCACACGACTAAGTATGAGAAGTAGACATGCTCTCTCTGACTGAGCATGAGAACCTCCACATGACTAAGTATGGGAAGTAGACATTCTCTCTGTGACTGAGTATGAGAAGCTCCACACGACTAATTATGAGAAGTAGACATGCTCTCTATGACTGAGCATGAGAACCTCCACAAGACTAAGTATGAGAAGTAGACATTCTCTCTGTGACTGAGTATGAGAAGCTCCACACGACTAAGTATGGGAAGTAGACATGCTCTCTGTGACTGAGTATGAGAAGCTCCACACGACTAAGTATGGAAAGTAGACATGCTCTCTGTGACTGAGCATGAGAAGCTCCACACGACTATGTATGAGAAGTAGACGTGCTCTCTGTGACTGAGTATGAGAAGGTCGAGCTGCCTAAGAAGATAAGTAGAGGTCATCTCGACCTGCTAGACCTGCTAGAGGTCATCTCAACTTGCTAGACTCGTCTCGACCTGCTAGACCTGCTAGAGCTGCTAGAGGTCATCTCGACTTGCTGGACTTGCGAGAGGTCATCTCGACCTGCTAGACTTGCCAGAGGTCATCTCGACCTGCTAGACCTGATAGAGGTCATCTCGACTTACTAGACGTTTTCTGTACTAGAGGTCTCCGCTACTAGACGTCTTCTCTACTAGACGTCTCCGTGACTAGAGCTCTCCGCTACTAGATGTCTTCTCTACTAGACGTCTCCGTGACTAGAGGTCTCCACTACTAGACGTCTTCTCTACTAGACGTCTCCGTGACTAGAGGTCTCCGCTACTAGATGTCTTCTCTACTAGACGTCTCCGTGACTAGAGGTCTCCGCTACTGGACATCTCTTTGACTACAAGAGCATGATCTAGAGGCAGTAATTGGATAATAAAGAATCTTGAGCTGACTAGGAGGTAGATGGAATGCGAACTGTCCAGGGCATTTTGGACACTTCAGGTAAACCTCCCGGGGCATTTTGGGTACTTCAAGCAAGTATTTCCCTCTATATAAAGGGACTGAGGTAACCCTAAACCTTAACCTCTACTCATTCTATACACTTTCCATCTCTCTGCTGTTGTTGCTCTCTGCCCCACATTCTATGCATTTCTACATGCATCACAAAGCTTCATCTTCCTCTCCTCTGTTTACTGACTTGAGCGTCGGAGGCCCGACGCCGGGACCTCTCCCGGCGTTGGGTTCTTGCAGGTGTTTGCGGTGGTGTAGCAACGATTTGAAGGCGGTTCAAACAGATCGGAGCTCACAACAACCGGTTTACTCCAGATCTGGAAGTAGACACATCAAAGTCAATCTATTCTACGCCCACTGTGGATTGGGCACGAGCCTAGTTTGAAACACATTCATATTTGGGGTAGTCCATCACATGTATTTAAGAGAGATATTGATAAGTTTGAACCTCGTACTATATTAAGGTTGTCTGTTTGCTTTTGTAGAGGAATTAAATGTGGTTTTGTTCTATAGACCTAAGGATTTGAATGTGATCGTTAGCACGAATGTCCTATTCTTAGAAGAAGACTACGTTATGAACCACAAGCTCATTACTATACATGTCCTAGAGGAGGTGAGGGGTGAGAGTTCGTCTTCAATACTACATGTCAAAGATGTAACAGACAAAATACTCCAACATTGTTACCTACGATCCATCTATGCTTGTACTATCTCGCTGTAATGGGTGGGTTGTGAGACAATCCGACAGATTCATGTTGTATAGCTTATTACTCCAATTTTTCAAATAAGTTCTTATGATATAATATTGCCGTTCAAGTTTTGTAATTCAGTCATTATATATTTCACGATGATGATAAGTAAGATTTAGGAACAAACACTCTGATGTTGTGTTATCTGAGTCCAGTGTTGGCTTTAGGGGAGGCACTATGCATTCACATATTTCAACGATAAGAGTCTGGTGATACACAATACTTAAAAGTCAAAATATTGACAATTAGTGCCCCAACATAGTGTTCATGAATACATATCATAATTGTTTCAATATCCCAAATAAAAGAAAATTCACAAAACTAAGCTATAAAGGTAAGTCATACTTGTGTCATACTTTGTTGATTGTATGCTATTGAAACATTGACAATAATAATAAGTGATATACACAATATTACATGTGAATATGCACATTATGCTACCGCTTGAATATTTAAAAAGTAAACAAAATTATAAGAATGTCACTGCATTTTTTTTACTAAAGTTTGACCAGTTGTCCAGATTTGATGCGTTAATTTAATCATATCTGACGGTTATATATTATTCTTATTTTATTCACTATCTTTACTTTTCATTTGATCCTACTTCTAATATAGTGACATAATGTATTGTAATTAAATTTTACACGTGTTTTCGCACTCAAAATTGTGGGCAAAAAGTTAAAATTTAGTTCGTATGCATTAGTTCTTCTACAAGTATTAGATAACTAGATATAGGAATCAAATGGTGCAATAGAGTATTGTCAAAACAAGCCTAAGCCCGGACAATGAACTGCAACTTGGTGGTAAGACGCTTCACCTATGACCCATCATGGGTTCGAGTCATCGAGGAGGGAAGTGGGAACACTATTTATCCTCCTTTAAAAAACAGGGCCTAAGCCCACGTGCCAGCCCACACTGCCCCTACCAAATTAAATAATAAAAAAATAAGTTAGAGAACGGACAGAACCCTACATCTTCTCTCGCATGTACTTTATTGTTTGTCCCATTTTTATTAGCTTTTCTCTGTGTTTATTTGGTGACTTTTCTCTCATTTATAGATTTGTTTTAGTAAAATCGATCCATATTTCTAAGTTCTATGTGTTTTATATTTTCCGGCGTTTCTTTCATATGTCTCTGCTTTTCTTCGTGTGTTTTGCATCTTTTTGGTTGAAGGTAAACAGATCAATTTATTGAGCTACGAATAATCCAAAACAAGCCTCACTACGAAGAAGAAGACCATTGCGACCCTTCATAGTCGTGAACCCTGCTCGGGAACACCTTCCCGGAGCTTTGCAGTCCGAGACAATGAAAATTCCCCGCGAGACCTCGCAATGACCGTTCACGAGCCTTCTTCCATGGGGCTCATCGCGGTTACGAACAACTTTGCGGTCCACGATGGTGCTCGAACCCGGGATACACTTGGACTTCTTTTGAGCCGTTTTTCAAACCACTACTTGAGGAGAAGGTGCCAGATCCATCCAGGTGTCCAAAAGTTCTCTTAAAATAGAAAAAACATGCCAGGAAAGATCGAAGAGGGTCCTGAGCATAAAAAACCACTTGTACATAATGTCTTTTGAAATTTCGCCATTTTCTTATGCTTGGACTCTTGGGGGATTCCACACCAGATTGATTTCTTCTATACTCTTAGTTGATTATAAGTTTTTATTTCTCGTATATTATTGTTGAGTGAATAAGATTTTTTTTTATTCAATTAACATGAATTTGAATCAAGCATGAGATAAATCATCCACCTAAGGTTAGGGATTTCAATTATTGTCTTGAAAGTGTAATGAATGTGTGATACATCATGCTCGTTCAAATTGTTTGAATATCACTATTAGTTTCTTGATCACCATCTAGTCTAGATCGATAATCCCAAAACTAAAAGGGTATAGGGTATTCGACTATTGTTTGATGGGTTAAACATGTTCATGATTGAATTGTCTGTATTTTTATGATTGAAATAAGTATTTGTCTATTTTTTAACATGTGTTTGTAAAAGTACCGCGAACGAACCTCCATATGTGCGTGTATATTTTTATCTATTTGTTTATGTCCAATCTCTTGTCACGAAAGAAATTGGGAGCGAACACTAGCCATTTATGTGAGAACCTCAGGCTTTAGACCGAACAACTATTCACTCGACATAGAGTTTTAGGACTTGATGAGATTATTTCCAAATCCCTAGACCATGTTATACTTCTCTATTAGTTTTATTATAATTAAATTGCTTTTATAATTCTTGGTTGTTTTTAGATAAGTTGTCCAACTCATTTATAATTAGAATGTCTATGACTTATTTTATTTTTATGTGTGATCAGTGCCTACTCTAAATTTTGAAACGCCTCCCTCGAGATATCAACACGAGGTCGGGATTCATTTTGTACTCGGTAAAAAAATATTTTTCTGCAACATTAACACCATGCCAACTGCCATATTTAAATTAGAAACCAAGCAGCCTCATCATCTTCTCCTAGTTTTTAGAATAA